CAGAGGCTCCGGAGGAAGCCTCCTTCGCTGGGCATGTTGTATCCCCGTTTTAGGTATTCCAATCAGTTATAGGCAGAAGACGGACTTACAGGCTTTCTATGGTGGTATTTCTGGCTATTTCTTTCTCTCCCCATCCAGTGTCTATTTTATAGAGGTATGCCAGGGGAAGCAAGATTCAACAGACAGCCAAGCATCTTAACATTATTTTCACCCCTTTTCCCCATTCAAACCATGTCTCAATCTCTGTATCCCAGAGCCCTGTTGTCCCAAGGTTTTGCATATATCATTATTTGCCTCTGTCACACTTTAGCTTCACCTTCATCCTATCACATTTCATTTCATTGCAATGATTAAAATCCCCTCCATGCATCATCAAATAACCAAAGGATACACCCCACAGGCCTGCCCCCTTGGCTGTCAGCAAACAGCTCTTCTCCCTCCCTGAGTCCCGTGTCCCCAGCCACTCCATCTATCCATGCCATCATAGTCCCCCACCATTTTGAGTCTGGGCAGTTTCAAGCCACACACCCCCAACCCAAGGTATTCCTTCCAGTTAGTTATAGGCTGGATCCAGGCCCACATGTTTTCTGTTGTGATGTTTCTGGCTGTTCTCCCCCCTCAAGTGTCTATTTCACAATAGTAGGCAAGGGAGACCAAGATTCAAAAGACGACCAAGCATCCTAACATTATTCCCCTCTTTTCCCCCTTTCAAGCCATGCCTCAATCCCTGTATCCTGAAGCCCTGTTTTCCAGGGTTGTGCATACCTCATCATTTAGCTATGTCTTACCTAGCCCATGCGAACCTGCCCAACCATTCTCCCGTCTGCCTTGTTCTTCTTTTTCCCCTCCTCCTTCTTGTGTAGTGAGTGCCAGCTTCCACCACCCACCTTCCCCCCTCCCCCAGGTTCTCCTGTGTCTATTCCCTACCCTGTGCTCTTTCTTCCCCCCTCTTCCCACCTTTCATCCCATACATAGTGGTGATCAGCACTTATATTTTTAGATTCCTCCCCCACCTCTTTTAGGTGGGTTCTTTTACAATAATGGTCTTATGCAGTATTTTCCTTTTGTGACTGACTACTTTCACTCAACATAAAGCCCTCAAGGCTCATCCATGTTATGCGGTGGCTTGCAGCTTCCATGTTGTTCTTCAAGGTAGCATAGTATTCCATTGTGTGTATGTACCACAGTTTGTTTATCCGTTCTTCAATAAATGGGCATTTTGGTTGTTTCCATTTTTTTGCTATTGTAAATAATGCTGCTATGAACATTTATGTGCATATATCTACTCATGTTATGGCTCATATTTCCTTTGGGTAAATACCAAGTAGAAGAATTGCTGCGTCATACGGTATTTCTATTTCTTACCTTAAGCACCATATTGCTTTCCAGAGAGGTTGGACCATTTGCAATCCCACCAGCAATGTAAGAGGGTCCCAGTCTTTCCGCATCCTCGCCAGCATTTGTTGTCCTTTGCTTTTTTGATCTTTGTTGTTATTGCTGGTGTGAGATATCTCATTGTTGTTTTGATTTGCATTTCTCTGATGGCTAGTGATTGTGAACATTTCTTCATGTGTTTTTTAGCTGCCCGGATCTCCTCCTTGATGACGTGCCTGTTCATGTCCTGTGCCCATATTTTAATTTGATTATTTGTCTTTTTCTTATAGAGGTGTTGTAGTTTCCTCTATATTTTAGAAATGAGTCCCTTATCTGATGTGTCATCGCAAAAGATTTTTTCACATTCTATGGTTTCCCTTTTTACTCTTTTGGTGAAGTCTTTTGATGCACATAAGTTTTTAATTTTTTTGTTTGTGTAAATTTCAAAATGTTTGGTTGTCTGTATATGCCCTGAATTAGCACCTTCACATTTGTCCCTATTTTTTCATTGTTGACCTTCATAATTTTGGGATTCACATTTAGATCTTTAATCCATGCTGAGTTCATTTTTGTATAGGGCGTGAGGCAAAGGTCTTGTTTCAGTGTTTTACATATCGCTTTCCAGTTCTGCCAGCACCATTTGTTAAAGAGACTGTCTCCTCCCCATGCAATATGCCTTGGCACTTTGTCAAAAATCATTTGCCTGTATGTGGTTGGGTTAATTTCTGGATTCTCGATTCTGTTCCATTGATCTTTGTATCTTTCATCGTACCAGTACCAGACAGTTTTAACCACCCTAGCCATGTAGTAAACTTTGAAATCAGGGAGTGAGTGACCTTCAACCTTGTTCTTCTTTTTAAGTAGTGCTTTGCTTATCCTGTGTCTCTTTCCTTTCCATATAAAGTTAGTAATTGTCTTTTCCATCTCTTTGAAGAATGTTGTTGGAATCTGGAATGGAATTGCATTATATGTGTAAATTGCTTTGGACAGTATTGACATTTTCACGATGTTGAGTCTTCCTATCCAGGAACATGGTATGTTCTTCCATTTTTGTAGGTCTCTTTTGGTTTCTTGTAGTAGTGTTTTGTAATTTTCTTTGTATAAGTCCTTTGTTTCTCTGGTTATGTTTATTCCTAAATATTTCATCCTTTGTTCGTCTATTGTAAATGGTACTGTTTTCCTAATGTCCTTTTCATTGCTGTCGTTGTTACTATAGAGAAATCCAACTGATTTTTGTATGTTGATCTTATACTCTGCCACTTTGCTGAATCTTCCAATGAGGTCTAGTAGTTTTTTTACCGACTCATTGGGGTTTTCTATGTATAGAATCATTTCATCTGCAAATAAGAAGAGTTTTACTTCCTCTTTGCCAATTTGGATGCCTTTAATTTCTCTATCATGCTGTATAGCTCTGGCTAAAACTTCCAAAACAATATTGAATAGGAATGATGACAAAGGGCATCCTTCTCTGGCTCC